CCAGCCGCTCCGCGGCATGTGGGAGCTTCCCGGACCGGGGCACGAACCCGCGTCCTCTGCATCGGCAGGCGGACTCTCAACCACTGCGCCGCCAGGGAAGCCCTATGGCCAATTTCTTAAAACAAGACAGCAATAAAGTCTACCACATAGATTGACTCTTCCTTTCACAACTTCTCTGTAGCATTCAGTGCTTGCTGTTTGTTAGCATTTTACCCACAGTAGAACTCCTTTCAAAACTGGAGTCAATCTTCTCTCAAGCCCTGCTGCTTTATCAACTAAGTTTATTTAATATTCTAAATTTTGTTGTTGTTTCAACAATCTTCACAGCATCTTCACCAGTAGTTTCCATCTCAAGAAACCACTTTCTTTGCTTATCTGTAAGAAGTAACTCCTTATCCGTTTAAGTTTATCATGAGCTTGTGGCATTTCAATCACATCTTCAGGCTCCACTTCTAATTCTAGTTCTCTTACTATTTCCACCACATCTGCAGAGCTCTTGGGTGACCAGGTACACTATCAATGAGCAGTGATATTTTGAAAGAAATCTTTTCTCCTAAGCTGTAGGTCTCAACAGTGTGCATAAAATATTCAGTAAACTATGCTGTAAACAGAGGTGTGTGCTGCTATCCAGGCTTTCTTTTTCCATTTACAGAGCACAGGCGGAGTAGATTTAGCATAATTCTTAAGGGTCCTAGGATTTTGAGAATGGTAAACGAGCACTGGCTTTGACTTAAAGTCACCAGCTGCATTAGCCCCTAACAACAGAGTCAGCCTGTCCTTTGAAGCTCTGAAGCCGGGCATTGACTTCTCTTCTTTAGCCATGAACATCTTAGATGGCATCTTCTTCCAGTATATGGCTGTCTTGTCTTCACTGCAGCTCTGTTGTTTAGTGTAACCACCTACATTCATTATCTAGCTAGATCTTCTAGATAACCTGTTGCAGTTTCTACATCAGCACTTGCTGCTTCACCTTGCACTTCTATATTATTGAGAACGCCTCTTCCCTTAAACCTCACCGGCTAGTCTCTGCTAGCTTCAAACTTTTCTTCTGCAGCTTCTTCACCTCTCTCAGCCTTCACAGAATTGAAGAGAGTTAGGGCCTTGCTCTGGGTTAGGCTTTGGCTTAAGGGAATGTTGTGGCTGATTTGATCTTCTGTCCAGACCTTTAAAACGTTCTCCATATTAGCAATACAGCTATTTCACTTTTTTATCATCCATGTACTCAATGGAGTAGCACTTTTAATTTCCTTCAGGAACTTTTCTTTGCATTCACAACTTGGCTGCTTGGCTCAAGAGCCTAGCTTTCAGCCTGTCTTGGCTTTCAAAATGTTTTCCTCACTAAGCTTAATCATTTGTATCTTTTGATTTAAAGTGAGAGACGTATGACACTTCCTTTCACTTGAACACTCAGAGATCACTGTAGGGTTATTAACTAACCTAATTTTGAAATTACTGTGGCTCAGGGAATAGGGAGGCCCCAGGAGTGGGAGAGAGACAGGGGAATGGCCAGTTAGTGCAACAGTCAGAACACACATAACGTTTATCGATTAAGTTCGTTGTCTTATATGGGCGTGATTCGTGGTGCCCCAAAACAAGTACAATTGTACATCAAAGATGACTGATCACAGATCACTATAACAAATACAATAATAATGTAAAAGTCTGAAGTATTGCAAGAATTACCAAAATGTAACATAGAGACATGAGCGAGCAAAATGTAATATAGAGACATGAGTGAGCAAAAGCTATTGTAAAAATGGTACCAATAAACTTTCTCAACACAAGAGTGTCACAAACCTTCAATTAAAAAAAAAAGCAATTATCTGCAAAGTGCAATAAAGTGAAGTGCAATAAAATTAGGTATGCCTGTAAAATTATTATACAAAAATCAACTGTAATAAGCACATTAGCCATTAGGGAAATGTGATTCAATACTACCATGTGAGGGACTTCCCTGGTGGTCCAGTGGTTAAGAATCCACCTTCCAATGCAAGGGACACGGGTTCGATCCCTGGTCGTGGAACTAAGATCCCATGTGTCGAGGGGCAACTAAGCCTGCACACTCTAGACCCCATGTGCCACAACTACTGAGTCTGTGAGCCACAACTAGAGAGAAGCCCGCGTGCCACAACTAAGACCTGATGCAGCCTAAATAAATAAATAAATATTAAAAAAAAAACTACCATGAGATACCACTTCACACTCATTAGGAAGGCTACAATAATAAAGAGAGAAAATAACAAGTATTGGTGAGGACATGGAGAAACTAGCACCCTCATACATTGCTGGTGGGAAAGTAAAATGGTTACGGCTGCTGTGAAAAGCAGCTGGCAATTGCTCAAAAAGTTAAACAGTTAGCACATGACCTAGCAATTCTACCCTCAGGCGTATTCAAGAGAAATAAAAACATACTTCCTTACAAAAACTTATATATGAATGTTCAAAGAAGCATTACTCAGGCAAAAACTGGAAACAATCCAAATTTTCATCAACTGATGAATGGATAAATAAAACATAGTATATCCATGTAATTGAATTTTATTTTTAAAAAAAAGAAGTAATGACACATGCTACAACATGAATGAGCCTTGAAACGTTACATTAAATGAAAAACGTGAGTCACAAAAGACCACATATTGTATGATTCCATTTACATATTGTCCAGAAAAGACAAATTTATAGAGACAGAAAATGAATCAGTGGTTGCTTAGGATTTATGAAAGGGGAAATTTGGAACAACTGTTTAATGGGTATGAATTTTCTTTTAGGAGGGACAATTAGACTGTGATCATTGTATAACCCTATAAATAAACCAAAAAAGACTGAATTATACACTTTAAAATGAACTGCATGGTATATGAATTAAATCTCAATAAAGCTGTTTAAAAAACTTTCTGTAATTTTCTTATCTTATGTCATAAAATAATTAGAATAGAATCAATTTAATTATAGTATAATTGAATTTAATTGTAAATGTAATTAGCTTATAATAAATAAATAAATAATCGATCACTGTGAGAGCTGCAGCTGCAAGGCTATTACCCTAACATTAGAATTGCTGATTTGTCTATAAAACTTCCAGGGAACATTGCTTTGCACATATAATAAAATCAATACTACTTTAAAAAAATCATTCATATTTCCATATATCAGCAACAAGTAGAAAATAAACGTTAAAGATAGTTATAACAGTTATCATAAAACATCAAAAATAGAAATATTGATAAATTCAGTGAATCATGGAAAACATCCATTTGCTAACAACTACTTTATTTCAATAAGATTTTGTAAAAGTGATCTAACAAACAAAGGCATATACCATTTTCTTGGAATGGAAGACTCAATACTGTAAAGATGTCTATTAACCCCAATTGTGTTGGTAAATATATCAAATGTATTCCCAAGCAAAATCCTAATAAGGTTTCTTTTCTGTGTAGAAGTTCACATGAAAATGCAAAAGGACAAGAATAACCTAGGTGATCTTGAAGAACAGCTAAGCTGAAGAACTTTAACAGAGGGCAAGACCAAATATAACATGAGAGAAATTAAAACAGTAAGATAAGGGCAAAAGAATAGAGTAACAGTTCAGTGAAACAGAACAGATGGTCTTGTAACAGACAAGTATATGTTTACCTTATTTATGACAAAAGAGAAACAGCAGTGTGATGGGGAAAGGATGGTTTTCAATAAATGGTGCTGGGCCAATTGACTATATATAAAAAGTGAGTCTTGACTCTTACCTTACATCATACACAAAAAAATCAATTCCTGATGAATTATAGACATAAATGTAAAAAGTTCAAGAGTAAACATGTAAAAGAAAACACAGAAGATCTTTATGACATTAAAATAGACCAATATTTCTTAAACTAGACACAAAAGACCTTAACTAAAAAAGACAAGACTGATAAAATGGAACTTGTGTTCATGTAAAGGTATCACAAAAGGGTGAACTAGCAAGCCACAGGATGGGAGAATATATTTTCAATGCATATTTCAAACAAAGAAACCGTACCCATAATATATAATCAAAAAATAATATTACTCAAACCAATAGAGGTGGGGGGAGCAGCAAAAGACTTTTAACAGGTGCTTCAAAAGGAATGTATCCCAATCAGCAAGAAATATACGAAACAGTGTTCAACTTCGTTAGTCTTCAGGGAAATCAAAATTAAAATTGCAAGGAGACACTAACAACATACCCACCAGGAAGGCTAAAATACAAAAGACAGAAAGTACCAAACACTGACAAGGATGGAGGATACACTGCTGGATGAAGAAGAGGTAAATTGGCACAACTACTTTGGAAAACGTTTGGACACAACCTACTAAAGCTGAAGATATGCATATACTATGACTATGTAATTCTGCTCCTGGGTTTGTATCTAAAAGAAATGCATTAAAAAAACTTCTTTAAGAAACATGTACTATACCATTCACAGAAACATTACCTGTAATAGTCCCAAACTAGAAATGAATGAAATGCCAAAAGCAAGAATAAATAAATACATGTTCATTCAGTGTAATACTACTGGCAGCAAAAATAAACTAAGACTACATTACATTCAGGTAGGGATGAATCTTACAAACAAAATGTTGAACAAAAGCCAGCACATAAAATGTACATATTATATGGTTCTATGTGTATAAAGTTCAAAATTAGGCAAACCCAATCTATGGTATAGTGAGTCAAGGTAGTAGTTAGTCTGGCTAGAGATGCCATGAATGGAAGAGGACATGAAACTTCTGGGCTTCTGGGGTCCTTGTCTCTGTTTCTTGATGGAGATTCTGCTTATGCAGGTGTGTTCATTGTGAAAATGTGAAGTGTGTCTGTGCGTGTATACACTATACTATATGTATTAACTTCAAAATACTTCAAAAATTTTTAAAAAATTGTTTTAGTATATTTATACAAAGATGACTATTTGAGCCTATGGAGAAAAAGAAAGGAAAATTACTGAATGTGGAGGCTAGGCTGTTTGTATGGTGTTTTTACTCACCTTTGTCCTGTAACGCAATTTGTTCCTTATGCAGTAATGCCACCTCCCGTCCCAAAGCTTTCTTCTGTCTTTCCAGTTCATTTCGAAGCACCAAAATTTTTAATTGCAGGCACTCACTTTCTTTTTTCTAAATAATTAAAAGTACAGGTAAATTTATGAATATAAAAGTTATTCCTACAAATAACTGCGCATTCACAATGTTTCAAAATGTGACTGGTTTAAAGCACTTTAATATTCATGTAACTTATAGATCGCTTGAGTAACTTAATTATCAGCACCTGTCATTTTAATGGAAAGAATACAGATGTAAGCAAAGAACAGAGTAGAAATAAAATCTCAAATCTGGGAACAGTTCTAAGAACCTAAAAGACACTATAAAATATCTCAGGCCTCTTTCCTAACACCACAATACAATAAGACACAAATTAATAATAAAAAAGAAATGGAGTTCTCAAAATGTTAAACATAGAATTACCTTAGGACCCAGCAATTCTACTTCTAGACATATGTATATACCCAATAGAATAAAAAACATGTCCATACAAAAATGTAAATATGAATGTTCATAGCAGCATTATTCATAATAGCCAAACAATGAAATCAATCCAAATGTCCATTATCTGATGAATAGATAAATAAAATGTGGTATATATACAATGGAATATTATTTGGCAATAACAAGAAATGAAGTACTGATATATGCTACAACATGGATGAATCTTGAAAACATTACGCTAACTAAAAAAAAGCCAGTTTTAAAAGGCCACAGACTCCATTTATATGAAATTACCGAAATAAGCAAATCCATAGAAACAAAAAGTAGATTTCCATCCTTACCAAGCTGAACATAGGTGCTCTAATATTTCACAGATTTTGGAGAAAGCCAAGCAGGGACCTGGTGCTTTCATCCCTTCCAGACAGTAACTAACCAAGCCCCCTATAATGTCAGTGGATACCACAGGGAGAGCCTGCAGCCTCACTACAGATGTAACAAGATAACCTTCTCCCTTCCTGCTGGGTAATATCAGAGGAGGCCAAGTAGAGAGTCAGAACTTTCACTACTATGCAGTGCTATTGAGACCACCTTACTCCCTATGTGGGCAGCTGGAACTCCTATTCCTAGTCAGCATTAACAAGCCCTCTTACACTCACACACAAACACTCCTCTGCCACGTGAGCGTCAATGGAAGCTTCTTGGGGAACTTGGACTTCCACCCCAACCTGGCAGTAATGAGATGGTGCCTCTTCCTTCCACTACCAGAGGTGTCAGAGGAAGCCAGGTAAAATAGAAGGTTTAAATAAGATCCAGAGACTCATAATACCCCAAATGTACTAGTTTCAATCAAAAATCACTCATCAGATCAAGAACCAGGAAGATATCGAAGTGAATAAAAAAGGATAATCAAAAGATGCCAACACTTGAGACAAGTAGACATGTTACAACTATCTGACAACGATCTGAGAGTAGCCATCACAAAAATGCTTCAATAGAAATTAAGAACCTATATGGGAATATAATGTAAAAAAGAATGGATATATGTATATGTAAATGTATAATTGACTCACTTTGCTGTACAGTAGAAACTAAAACAACATTGTAAATCAACTATACTCCAATAAACATTAATTTAAAAAAAGAAATTAAGAACATGCTTGAAACAAAAATATAGAACTTCTTGACCAAAAAAACCCGTAAAATCTCAATAAAGAAAGTAAAGACCTAAAGAACTGAAATAAAAAACTCAATGAATGAGCTCAACAGCAGAATGTAGGAAATAGAGAAAAGAATCTTTAATCTGGAAGATCAAACAATAGAAACTACCCAATTTAAACAACAGAGATAAAAATGAACAGAGCCTCAGAAATCCGTGGAATGATAGCAAAAGATCTAGCACTTGTATCATCAAGTACCAGGACGAAAGGAGAAAGTGGGCAGGAATGAAAAGTACTTGTAGTAAATAATGGCTAAAAACTTCCCAAATTAGGCAAAAGAAATAAATCTACAGATTCAAGAAGTTAGTGAACTCCAAAAAGAATAAATTAAATGGAAAAAACCACAAAGTAAACAAAACCAAAAGCTGTGTTTTTGAAAAGGTCAGTAAGATTGATAAAATTCTAGCCAGGCTAACCAAGAAAAGACAGAAATTACTAATATGAAGAATGAAAGAGGAGCCATCACAACTGATCTCATGGACATTAAAAGAATAATTAAAAATACTATAAACAACTCTATGCCCATAAATTTGGTAACTTAGATGAAATGGATCAATTCCTTGAAAGACAATCTACCAAAACTCACACTAGGAGAAACTGACAATCTGAATAGGCCTATATATATATATATATATATATATATATAAAAGAAATTAAATCAATAATTAATTATCTTCCAAAACAGAAAGTACCAATCCAGATGGCTTCACTGGTAAATTTTACCGAACATTTAAATAAGACATTATATCAGTTTTTGAAAATCTCTTCCAAAATACAGAAGAACTTCCTAACTCATTCTATGAGGCCAGCATCATCCTCACACCAAAACCAAAGCCATCACTAGAAAGGAAAATTACAGACCAGTATTTCTCATAAACATAGGTACAAAATCCCCAACAAAATATTAGCAAATCAAATCCATCAACATATAAGAAGAATTATTCACCATGGCCAAATGAACTATACTCCAGGTATGCAAGACAGGTTTAACTTTCAATAATCAATTAATGGATTTCACATCAACCAGGCTAAAGAAAAAAATAATCATATAACCATATCAATGGGTGCTGAAAAAGCATGTGACATTCAACTAGAAATAAAGGAAAACTTCATCAATTTGGTAAAGAATACTTGCCAAGAAACCTACTAATATTTGCCAAAATACTTAATGGTGAAAACCCAGATGCTTTCTCCCTATGTTGGAGAGCAACACAGGATGTCCCCTTTCACCACTCTCTTAAACATGTACTGAAAGTCCTAGCTATACAATAAGGCAAAAAAAGGAAATAAAAGCTATGTATACTTGGAAAGAAATAAATGAAGTCATCTTTGTTTACAGATGATATGATTGTCTATGTAGAAAATCCCAAAGAATTGACAAAACAAAAACAAAAAACCAACCCCAAACCTCCTGAAACTAACAAGTGATTATAGCAAGGTTGCATGATACAGGGTTAATACACAAAAGTCAACTGCTTTCTTATGTAACAAGGAATAATGGGAATTTGAAATTAAAAACATAACGTCAATTATATTAGTATTAAAAAATAAAATACTTAGGTACAAATCTAACAAATTATGTAGAAGATCTATATGAAGAAAACTACAAAACTCCAATGAAAGAAATCAAAGGAGACCCAAATAAGTGGAGAAACTGTCCATGTTCAGGGATAGGAAGACACTATTATGATATCAATTTTTCCCAACTTGACCTATAGATTAAGTGACATCCCAGCAAATTATTTTGTGGATATCAACAAAGTGATTCTAAAGTTTATAGAGAAAAGCAAAAAACCCAGAATCACCAACAAAATACTGGAGAAGAACGAAGTTGGAAGACTGACACTATCTTCTGTCAAGACTTACCATAAAACTACAGTAATCAGGATAATGTGGTATGGGCAAAAGAATAGACAAACAAATCAGTGGAACAGAATGTAGAGCCCAGAAATAGAAACACACAAATATGGTCAACTAATCTTTGACAAAGGAATAAAAGCAATTCAATGGAGAAAGGATAGTCTTTTTCACCAAATGGTGCTGGAACCACTGGACACCCACATACAAACAAACAACAAAAAAAAATTTAGATATAGACCTATATCTTTCACAAAAATTAACTCAAAATCAATCACAGATCTAAATGTGAAATAATAATTACTATTCACCTTTTAGAGGATAACAGTGGAGAAAACCTAGGTGACCTTAGGCTTGGAGATGACTTTTTACATACAACACCAAACACATGAGCCATGAAAGAAGAAACTGTTAAGTTGGACTTCATTAAAATTAAGACTTCTGCTCTGGAAAAATGACTATTAATAGAATGAAAAGACAAGCCACAGACTGGGAGAAAATATTTGAAAACCACTTATCTGATAAAGAATAGAATACAAAATATGCAAAGAATTCTAAAAACTCAACAATAGAAATATAAACAACCCAATTAAAAAATGGGCAAACAATCTGAACTGTCACCTTACCAAAGAAGATACAGAGATTATCATATGAAAATAAGCATATAAGCATATGAAAAGATTCTCAATATCACAAGTCATCAGGGAATTGCAATTAAAACAATTAGATAGGGGCTTCCCTGGTGGCGCAGTGGTTAAGAACCTGCCTGCCAATGCAGGGGACATGGGTCCGAGCCCTGGTCCGGGAAGATCCCACATGCCGTGGAACAACTAAGCCCGTGAGCCACAACTACTGAGCCTGTGCTCTAGAGCCCGTGAGCCACAACACTGAGCCCGCGTGCTGCAACTACTGAAGCCAGCGTGCCTAGAGCCCGTGCTCCACAACAAGAGAAGCCCCCACAATGAGAAGCCCATGCACCGCGACAAAGAGTAGCCTGCGCACCACAACGAAGAGTAGCCCCCGCTCGCTGCAACTAGAGAAAGCCTGTGAGCAGCAACGAAGACCCAACGCAGCCAAAAAATAAAATAAAATAAATTTAAAAAATGAAAAACAATTAGATTACCACTACACACCTATCAGAATAGTTTAAATCCAAAACAATGGCAATACTAAATGTTGGCAAGGATGTGGAGCAACAGGAACTTTCATTCATTGTTGACGGCAATGCAAAATGGTATAGCCATTTTAGAGGATGGTCTGGCAGTTTCTCACAAAACTAAACATAGGTTTACTATATGATCGAGCAATTGTGCTCCTAGATATTTACCCAGATGAGCTGAAAACTTGTGTTCACACAAAAACCTACACATAAATGCCTATAGCAGCTGTATTCATAATTGCCGAAACGTGGAAGCAACCAAAATGTACCTCAATAGGTCAAAAGATAAACTGTGGCATATCCAATAACAATGGAGCATTATTCAGCAATAAAAAGAAACGAGCTATGAAAAGCTATTAAAAAGACATGAGGGAACCTTAAATGCATATAGCTAAGTA